AGTTATAAGGTAGAAACCCCATGATAGTTATAAGGTAGAAACTTCATGATAGTCATAAGGTAGAAACTTCATGATAGTCATAAGGTAGAAACTTTATGCTAGTCATAAGGTAGAAACTTCATACATGTATAAGTCATAAGGAAGAAACTTCATGATAGACATAAAGTATGAACTTGTATGATAGTCATAATGTAGAAAGTTCATAGAAGTCATAAGGGAGAAAGTTCATAGAAGTCATAAGGTATGAACTTGTATGCTAGTCATAAGATTGTTACTCTAATACATTTAATTAGGTTGTAAGTTTTCGATTGATACGTTAGAAACTTTTAATACCATGTAATTAGTCATAATGAATAAAGTTGATACGAAAGAATAACACTTCGTACTAGTTATAAGTTATATAAAGCTGTTTCAAACATAAGTAATTATCATTTATTTGTGAAAATAATTCAAATTCGATTGTGAAGAATGGCTGTAGCTTATTTAATCCACTTCCTGATACTAACCAGTACTGGTGTCATATGAGGAAGCTTGGCGTGGCCCCTATAGAGCTCGAACTCATGTATCCTTGGTTTGAGAGATAAAGACCTTAATCACCAGACCACTGCTTCTCTGGATTTAAGTTACTGGTCATGTTTAAAACTTTCTGTATTTGATTCAAGCAAAATTTGTACGCCATTCGAAACGTGATATGTTGTCCTAAAGAAAGCAATTCTTTTGACAGATTTCACAGGAAATGTACCCGAAGCAAATTTCGATACATGTTCATCAAGTTTACAAACGGTAATGATGCCAAAAAGGCCGGGATATTCCGTATGGCCACCATGTACACTTGCATTCAGATGTTCCGGTTGCTGCACGAATGCTATTAATTCTTGTCAACCCGTTACCACCTCGGAGAAGCAAGTAAAGGTATCAAAAAAGATTAACATAATGATCATTTATTTTCTATTTCTTTTACCATTCAGATAAAAAAGTTAAACCGCATAATGCTGAAAAGCAAATTCATGTTCAGGTTTTCAATGCGTACTGAATGAATGCTAATGTAAATTCCTGAAAAAAGAAATTCAATATCATGAAAGTGAACTGCAATACACTTAAGTGGATATATTTGTTTTCAAAACTATTCCACGACATACAGTTATGAAATAATAGTTATTTAAAGTGAATAGCAATTTTACTTGATTTTCAACGATTCAAACACAATCTTCATTATTTATTTATTTATTTATTTTTTGATTTTCTGTTATGTAAAATATTTCGTATGGCTGGGCAAAAAGACGAAAGTACGAATCACGACTCAGCAATCGTAGCCCGTGACGTACTGTTTACCAACCAACACATGGTTGTTGATTGTTGCAGACGACACACCATTAATTTTCATTGAAATTATCGACTTTTGGGTGTCAAATAGAGTGTCTGAGAGATGTAATACAACAAGAATAGTTTAAACCACGAATATTTCATTTTTTTCTTTGCTGCCTAAACTTATGACCAATTGACATTTACCACAAACTTACAGAAATGTATACAATAACAATTATATATCCAGACCATCATCTCCATTGTTGTGTGATGTATTGCTCGTTTGTTTGCTGTTGTTAATTATTGTTGTTGCTTTAACATACGTTTTTTATAACTCAGGTAATTTTACACCAAGCTACGAAATCCGGTACATAGACATACCATTTGAGACAATTGACATTAGTCTTGTTGTCGATAACCCGAGCACAACGACTGTATTCCAAAAATGTAAAACAAAAGAAGAAGATTGTCATGACATTTCAGAAGTATGTTTTTTTTTTTTATGTTTCTTGTGTGTTTGTGTGGGTTTTTTGGGTTTTTTTTTGTTGACATTGTGATGATACTGGTGCTTTGTTTTTCAGACTCCATATCGGAAGTCAATCATTCAGCCGGAAAGCTTGACTGTAGGGAAAAATCGACTGACAATCTCTATGTTAATATGTTCACAGGTTGCGATGGCAATTCCTTTTAGTCTTTAGAACATGAATATTACGACCCAAGAAAAACATATTTTGAATTTCATAATTTAAAACATGAAAATTCTAAGTTTTTAAGGGCGTCAACAGACGTTAAAAAAATGTATGACAAAAAAAGTGACTTATATCGCAGCGCCGATTTATGCGTTTTTAATCTTAATTATATTATATATAGTTGATTTAGATCATTTATATATCAATCTAGTAATCATACATTACAACAGGTATGTACCAAGTATATGTTAGCTGCGTCTGTGGCCTGAAGAGAGAAAGTCTTCAAAAAACCTGCAAAGGGAAACAAATCTGGGACGAGGAGGCATGTAATTGTTGTATGTGTAAATTATGAACAGATAAATGTTCGTCATCTTGCTATTTCAGCAGCAGAGACGTGCCGGTAGATTTTTGAATTGTCAAGATTGTATATACAATTCAAAGCATTGTATCTATTATTTACTTGCGGTTCAGATGCATCATGATATCACAAACTGTTACAATAATGTTCATGATGCTAATATCTTAAATTGATTCAGATCTAAAAAAGTCGATGACTTCTATCCAGTTACCGCTCTCTGGCGTTGGGGTTCGATCCCCGGGAGAGCTTTGTAGTTTAGCGGCGGAGGAAGGGTAGTCTAGTACTCGGTGGTAACTCTCCAGGAACGATGGTTAGGAAACTACCCGCCTATATGACTGAAATACTGTTGGATAAAGGCGTAAAATCAATCAAACAAACAAACAAACAATCTAAAAAAAGCCCATAGATTTTAGAGGTATTTTAAATAAATGCACTGACTGATTATCTAACAAAACAGACCATGAACAGACGGCAAGAATGTGCTTGCTGATTGTTGCGCCTTTATATTTCGCTTTTATCGCTTAATGTCGCACCAATTCCGCAAAATGTTGCACCATTACCGCTAAATGTTGCGCTCCCCGCTAAAGTAAAAAAAATCTTCTGCCGTTAAATCTTGCAAGGGTAAAGTTAGATGTCGCAAGACTTTCCATTGTCGTTAAATGTCGCAACACTAGCATTTATTGTCGCATGAGGTTGGAAATTAGTTGTATATACGTTGAATAGAGGTTGGATTTATGTCATTTTATGACGTTGGACTGACGTTGGATTCCGACGTCTAAAAAACTTTCATATACAACTAAATTCCAACGTCTATCGAACGTCGGACTCTAACGTCTGAAAACATTGAAACAACGTCATGTGTTTGCTGGGCTGCCTCCGCATTCTAAGCCATTTCAATATAAAGTTGCAGCCAGTAAATGGCAATTAACATTTATTGAATGTTCCTTCAAAAATATGTTAATGTTTTAAATTAACACGAAGGTAGTATTTTATACCTTGAAAAAGTACATGACTTAATACTAAACAGTGGTAGACCGGTAATTCCGTAACCGGTTTGGCCTCTGGACTTACGAACGACAATTAGTACGTATTTAAACCGTCTAGTATTTTACAGTTTTTGTAGCGACTAGCACGTATCAGTGGTAAGGTCGGTTTAAGTTTTTGTACGGACTAGGCACGCAGGGATACGCTACGGTTGATTTTTCCGTAGCAATTTTTATGCCATGTTCAAAAAAATTGGCAAGGATCGCTACGGATATACAAGGACTACTACGATTGATTACGGTTACAATACGGAGATCTACTGACCTGTACGAGTAGCTACGGACGATGCCGGAATTAATCCGTGGCTCTTTCGTGGGCGTTCATTCCGTGAATATGTGACCGAGATATAACGGAAATACTGACATAAACATCAGTTTTTTAACATGAATTTAGACAATTGCGACATTTAACGGTGGTGGTGCGACATTTAACGGTAAGGGAAAATGGTGCGACATTTAACGTCACACATTGCGACATTCAACAGCAAAATAGTTTTAGACAGTTAGCGGCGGTTGCGACATTTAGAGGCAATTGCGCGCTTTAAAGACCTATATATACATGAAATTTACCTTGTCTTTTGTCCATGCTGATTTTTTAACAAATATTTTAGTTGTCAACTGAAGTCCAGTGCCAGCGGTGAAACTTATATAAGCCAACTCTTCAAACGCATGAAATTTGATTTACTTCGACAAGACAATCTGAAGGAAAATCGCAACACGTCAGTAAAAGAGATTGAAGTGAAAATGGTTGCTGGGAGGGTAACAGTGTTTTGGACAAGGAACGCTCGAAGAAAAATGTCAATGACAAGAAGGGTGGTGAGAAAACTTCGTTTTTATGTCACGTCTGCTACTTACAGAGACATTTTTAATGAGGCATTTGCTGTATTAAATAAAAACATTCTACTAGAAACAAAATTTCTACTTTCTTAATTAAATGTGCGCGGTCATTTATCAAGAGTATACTGACAGATTGTGATGTGAATATGTTGTTTTAGAGAGGTTTCTGGTTTTCGTATATAAATGATATACATTTCAGTTATTTTTTTCTGTATTTGATATTTATACTTGTACTATCAAGATGCTGTAATGTACTGGGTAGCCAAGAAATACAGTAATTGTTTGCGATTATTTCATTTTTTATATCCTCTAAATGCTCGTAATTTATGATTTACGTGCATTTCAGGGTGTTTCAATATTTCATTTTGCTAGATTACAAAGCTATCTTATCTTAGACGAGTACGACCAATAACCAAAGGTTATTTAGAATTCTTACCAATAATGTTGCAGGTCATGGAAAGCTTAAAGATGGTGACGACTATAACAATGACGATGACGATAATGGTGATGATCAAGATGACGATGTTGATGACGAAGACAATGCTGGTGACGATAACGATGACGACTTTAACGATGACGGTGCTGGTGACAATGGTGTTTACTTAGCAAGAATACAAACTTTGAACTTCGTGTACGTTTTCTTGATATTCTAATAAATGTTAATATTAGGATTCTAATAGACATGAGAATAAAGTAAACATTATTTATTTATTTATTTATTTATTTATTTTCAATATTCTATTTTTATTTTGCAGAAGAAACCCTTGCTATGATACCAAATGTCCTGGAATCCTTAAAGCAAAGAAAATGAGAAATGGAAAATGTCGGTGTCTACCTGACTTCCGAAGAAATGTTAGGACATTTAATCAACAAAATCTGTAGTCCTAACATTGATATTGTTATTCTAGGTCCCTGTGTTTTACTTACATGTATACTTTATCACTATGTAGTGCAAGGGACAGATGATCCAAACACTGGATTTATGGTAGTTTGTATAAGTAGACAAGAGTTAGCGTTCTTTTGTGTGTTTCATGTTAATTTGTATTTATGAAAGTCATTGCCTTATGTAATGTTGATATGAAGTTAATGTGAAGAATGTTGTAATTGCGTTTAAAGTGTATGAAGGTAAAGTTATGCGGCCTGTAGCTTAGCAAAATATAGTCTGAAATAATTAAAGAAATAGATCTGTATGAAAAAAGAGTGTTTTTATATTTACTTTTTTATTTATATAGCTCATGTATTGAATCATTGCTTAAGGTATTAGCACCCTAATGCAATAACTACACAACAGCCAGAAGATTTAAAGGCTCATAATGCCCCGGAAATGTTTTTTTTCTCAAAAAGCTTATAAATTATGGTGATTTTTTATAGACTCCAAAACGTTATTCATTGGCAGATTACCGGGACAATTAAAAAAAATTCTGAGGCATAATGTGCCTTTGATTTTGTTAACGTACTATAATTATGCATGTTTATTAAATAACTGAGACATTCTTTTTCACACATTTCGAGAATCGATCATTAGATTATGGAAACAGTATAGTTTAAACGTTTATAAATTCTATATAAAAAGGGTTTCATTAGATATAGCTTTTTTGTAAACGTTTTACTATTTAGCCTTATGTGGCGTCAAATGTTATTTTGATTTATTGAACTAATATTCCCCTGGGGCGAGTAATCTATATAGACTTAAGAAAACGTAATGTTCTAGTTCTCTCCCTTCATAAAAAATCGATGGTTCTGTATAATAGAAAAATAAAAAAACTTGTGTCTCAGGGTATTAGTGCATATTAGAAACCATTGAACTGAAAAGCACCAAAAGCGGAGATATATAATGATATTTTTATATCAGTCTTTAAGAATGTATTATACAAAATTTCCATGATGACAGATGCACGTGTATATTTATTTTGTAATTAACTGACTGTATGATGATATGTGATGTGGTGACTGTATAAATATGATGTTCTGTTCCATTTGAAGGAAATAAAAAATATCTATATCAAACACCATCTTGTTATAATTTTGCCAACATCTTGTAACAATAAATAAAATAATTCCGTTTACAGACGGGAAAAAAGTTGAAATGAACTTAACATACAATTTGCGAATGTATATTACCAAAAGGAAACAACGACTGTATATTTTTCTTGAATCATCATTATATGATAGTTTTTACAAAACTAACGGAACTGACATTCCTATGATGCAAGAAGATTTGGTGTTTTTTGTGGATTTTTTTGTTGTTGTTGTTGTTTTAAGCAAAAAAAGAACTTTAACACTAAACAAACCTGAATTCTGAAATAAATTTGTATCATCACAGAGCTGTAATATAAGTCTCCGTTACAATGGTACACGAAATCACGAAGATCGCTCCAGAACTTTTGTTTGATTGAACAGTAAATGGGAGATAACCGCTCAGTTCATATTCAGCAGTTTGGAATCATTTAAGTCCCTTTACCTGTCAACTAACGAGTGTATGCATGTGACGGAAAAAGAATTAAATGGACAGTATAATTATATTAGCATATACATGTAGTTTACTAAATTCTTTATATGGATTTGTACAGCTTCCACCATTTGTTTTGTTGTTGTTGTTTTTTTTGTTGTTTGTGGTGGTTTTTATTGTTGTTGACTTTTTTTTTCGTTCTTTTTTTTTGTGCCCATTATCTTTTTTGTGATACTTTAGTTGATAAGCCAACCTTATGCAGGCTTCGCGGATGTGCAGGCTGGCCTGGCTATATGACGATGGCAAAGTCTGATCACTTTGGGTTCCAACAGACCAAGGGTTAACATTGATTTATTTATTTACATGCATGTTGAGACGACGAGGGGGTTGGGTGGTCATCACATCTTGTTTGTGAACAATATCGAAAAAAAATACAAGTAAGCTGTATTCATTCTGCTGAAGCCAGATACTACAAAACCCACGAATAGTGCGTCGATACCCCCCACACACACACACAGACACACACACACAACTCCCCCACCCCCCACCCAGCCCTTCCGCTTTACGTACTATAACTACATTAATTTAACTTCAATTTCCAGTGCTTAATTGTTAACGAAAGCGAATTCATTGATATATATATTTTAAGAGAGAAAAAAAACAAGTTTTTTTGTTTTTTTTAAATGCATCGCAAGTCACAGCTCATTTACACTTCCTGATTCTATACATTTACTTAAAAGTCAGTCAAAATATACAGAAACGATAGACAAGAGATAAAAAGTGAAAAGTGTCGTAGATTTTATCATAAGACTTAGTTGTGTAGTCTTCAAAACGCTTTGAAAAAAATGTATTACTGAAATATTCATGTTACAGCAGATATTTATATTACAGAAATGCATTTAGATCACCGTTTCATCGAAAGTCTTTTTAATTAAAAAGGTCCCCAGTTTTTGTTTGATAAAAACAGAGACTTAAATAAGAGGAAATATTATAGCTCCCTGTTAAAAATATAGGAAAATATTTTTTTTCTAAACCTTAAAGCATGTTGTTTCCAATTTCTCTTGTTATTAAAGTGTCTACATAAAATGGAATTATAATGTAACATTGACGTGCCAAGCTGAAATTTTATTGTTTTAATAATAACTTATTGTATTATAAATTTAGACAATATATCTTTTCAATTAAAATTTAATGACAATACACAGTCTACATCACTGTGATTTCCCATACTTTGATTAATTGGTGATTTATGTATCTCTCGTGCTATACTGTATAATGATATAACCCCCCCCCCCACCGCCAAACACACACACGCTTCCACATTGACCCCCTACTGCCACTTTATTTTGTCATATTTATTACAGAGGTGGCACTTTTTGTAAAAACACAGGGGATGGTGTCACACTATAAGATAGTATTTTGTTAATATTGCGACAGTAACATCCTGGTATGACACCTTTGGAATATGCAGACGACAATTTTCATATATCACACACGATTTAATCAATAATTTTTAAATAAAAAATATCTTAATATAATTATAACATTTACAAAAAATGAAAAATCCCTGGATCTTTTAGAAGAATAAAAAAATATTAACTGGAAAAAAAACAAAACAGAAAAAAAAACTTACTATAAATAATAGTCAATTGTACATTTATTTAATACCTCAAAAAATACATAATTCTGAATAAAACAAGGACGGTGCATTGAAAGCAATATAATTTGTTTCACAAATATTCTATTTAAATAACTTTTAGATTATAACTTTAAATCTCTTTTAACTGTCCTCCCTGTTTTATGAAATCAAACTGTATGAAATCTTATAATTTTTTATCTCATTTCTCGAAAAAATATAGATATTGTTTAGTTGTAATTGGTTCTCTTTTTTTGTATTCTTTCAAATGACGTTTTAGCTTTGAACTTCAGTTTTGTAGTTAACTTTCATCTTCTGTTGTGGTTGTTATTTTTGAACGGTAAAGAAGTTTTCTGCAAAATTTGTTTTTCACATTGAAAATCAAAAGTATATGTACATTGAAATATGATTGATAACACTGCAATTTTTTTTCTTCATTTTTCTCCAGAGAAAAAAAAAGGTAAAACGGTGTTGCGGAAAAAAATCCGACATCGCAGGAATTTTACCTGTCAAAACAAGCACGTGACCTCTTGAATAATTAACGAGATGGTGCTAATTATGTCTCCCTGACGTCACCCTGCGCCGACAACGATATGAATCTTTGAGTATTTGGAGCAACCCTTTCGCAGACTACTTTTTCAGAAATGAGAAAAGGAATGATATTTATATTTAAATTTCAAATTGTACACTTACGTATATATGAAATATTGCTGAAATAAAATGCCTAATTTCGTTTTTCGTATATTCACTGTAAAAAATGTAAAAATTTTCACTGCAGTGGCGGTAGTATGTATTTAATATTTCAACCCGTACACGACATCATTCGATTATTTTTTAACTCCTGGAGAAACCCGTAGATCGATAAAATGACATATGTCAATTTAGTTTGAGTAAACACATTTTTTTTATTGACTTAAAACAAATTTTAAACAATATCCACTAGTTTGATAAAGCTTGCGATTGAATATGAAACAATTGTCTGTCTTGAATGTTCGTTTAAGAACAAATTCTGCCTAATAACGATCAGATTTTTAAAATTATTCCTAGTTTCCTACATATGCTGTAAGGTACTTTCTGAAATTTATTTTAGTGTATTTATGGAATGGAAAAGAAAACCCGGTTTCGTACAGAAAAGGTTACATAAATTTGTATCATATTCCTCCCCATATAAAGACAAATTAAAAACAAAACTGACCAGAAAATATAGTAATACACGAAAATATATTGTATATGTTTCTAATACACACCGATCGAAGTACAAAATCATGACAATTATTACGGCTCAAAATCAGTTACTTTATATAAAGTAAAATTCTTTCTCTTAGAAAATATTTAAAACTATGATTTATTGTTTCTACTTGCACAAATTGGCTGTAATATTTTATGCGCAAGTATATGAATATAAGTTCATAAATAAATAAAGTATTTCATGCTGTAGTGTTAATAGTATATGTGTGGTGATAAATACAAACTTAATGATGATTTAACGATTACAATGTATTTATTTATGAAGAGTATGAAGAACGTTAAATACTTAGAAAATATTACAGTTGACAAGACGAAATATAGGATTTTATTCAATGCCTGGACGGGTGGTTGAACTGTGCTCTGGTAAATCAAGTATTACTTCCGGCCATGATCTGAAGTGAAAACTACCAGTACCACCACCACGTATAAGCAAGTGTTTGAAAACAAGCATGCTTTACTAACGTTATGTTACACAATAAGAAAACAAAATACATGAACATGTAGTCAAGAATATATATACAAACATACAAGGCTTTTGTGCTACATGTCAGTCTATTGAACTAAAACAAATATACATACAAATCCGCAAGTCACTCAACAAAGTTAGATAAAATTGACAAAATGTCCCACACTAAGTGTACAAATTAAATCCAATTAATACAAGACACTTTACACTAACTTAGAACTCTTTCACT